GCCCGAGCTGTGGTATGGCCCCCCATGAAACCCTTCTGGCAGCCATCACCACTCGGCTCTGCTCGTCGTGCTTAGGCAGCCCCTGGGTGGGGTGCCTTCCCACCACCCCCAAATACAGGGTCAAGACCCAGGGCCCACCCAGGCCCCAGGGCCTCTAGGCCTGCAGAGGCCTCCAGGGACCTACCCACAGTCCCCCGGGGCTCCCCTTACCCCAACCTCAACTAGCAGCTGGGACCCCAGCGCCTCCTTTTCTGGACCTGGGGGCCCAGCCCCGCCCCCACCCCGCCAGTCAAGGGGCATCACTCTGCACAGCTGTGGGAGCTGGGGCAGTGACCTGGAGGGCTGGTCACCTGGGAAGGGGCCAGGCACAGTTTCTAGCTTGGAGGAGGGGCAGAGGGGTGGGGCCTGCACTTCCTGGGAAACAGTGTTACACTGTGGGTGTCTGTCATGAGTTGTGTGGTTTCTGGAGTTGCCTGGGAGCCTGACCAACCCAGCCACCCAGCTCTGGGGACTTGCCAGGAGAGCCTCCTAGAGACGGGGAGGTGCTCCCCTCCCGTCCAGCCACACCCAACACTCCACCTGGGCCTGTGGGTGCCAGGCCTGAGGACTAGGAAATTCAACCCGATGCCCTAGATTTGCCCCTTTCCTGGTGCCAGCCCCCACTCAAAGGGACAGGGCTATCCCCTTGAGGAGGTAACTCTCGTCCTGGCCCCGGGGGGCTCTGGGCCAGGGTGTGGATGGGAGACAGAGAGCAGTGTTGCTGCCCAGGGATCCCTGATGAGGTGGGCAGAGCTAAGCCAGCAAGGGGTGAGACGTCACCTCCCTACCCGGCTGGTCACAGCAGAAGCCACCTTAGACTGGTAAAGCAAACGAGGGTGTGGCCTCCAGAACTGGAGAGTCAGCAGCTCCTCCCACAGCCCTCACAGAGGCGTCACCTGCAGTAGGCACCAAGTCCCCAACCTTCCTGAGTAAGGGAGGCGGGGTTTCATGGAGTGGCTCTACAAAAGTCACTAGGCAGTGCTGGTGGAGCTGGGTCCTGCACAGGCCTGTCTGAGAGCAAGGGTGACTTCTGTGCTTCCCTGCTGCCCGGCTTCTAGGTCACCAGGCCGCTGGGGTCCCTGCAGTAGCCCTGGGGATGACATGGTGAAGGCCAACTCTGGTGGCCCCTGACCTGGTGACGGCTGAGCGGGGCCTACTGGCGGAGTGCCCTGGGCCCCCTCAGTCACCACAACCTGTCTTTGAAAGGACCTCTACATTACCCTGCCCTTCAAGTCACCTTCACAGAGCTTGGGCCCCAGTACCACTGTCTGGGCTGTGCCCCTACCTGTCCCTTTGCTGCTCTCCCTGCAGCCAAATGCCCACCTCACTCCCCAGACGCTGCTCAGCCCCCTCTGCCACGCTGAGCCCAGTGCCAGGTTCTTTGCTGTAACCCAGGGCCTGCCTGTGTGGCCCTGGAGTGTGATCCACCAAGCTCCGAGCGTGCCTCAGGGCAGCGGCCACAGCTGGAGGAGCAAGCCTGCCTTGTGTGTCCATAGCAGGAGGAGAAAGGCCAGTGCTGCAAGAGCTGGCGACCTGCTGGTCCCTGCCTGTCTCCTGGGAGCAGCGGAGCCTGGGTGCAGGCCTAGGTGACAGGCCACTCCAAGCCAGCTGGAGTGGGGACTTGGCGTGCTTGCCCGGCCCCTTGGCCCTCTGCTGCCCTCTACTGGCCAATATGGGTTACTGGGTGGGGACCCGGGATCACATACACTTGGGAAGAGCAGTCAGACTCACCAGCTGCCCACAGCTGACCTCCATCTGCTAACTGCACCCATCTGCCCAGCTCTGATCTGGAGCCCTGCCCATCCTCACTGTGGGGCGCTCAAGTGGACACCAGGCTGTCTTGCCTGACGTCCATCAGTGTCTGAGGTCACATTTCACAGAGTTCTTGCAGACAGACCCCTGTCTTGGGTGCTTTAATGTTCATAATCTTTTCTTAAATGGCTTGCCACCTCTTTGGGTGTCCGGTTTCAGGTTGACAGTTGTTGGAAGCTGTGACATCTCTGCTTGATTCTCGGGCAGTGATTTCAGACGTCTGCATGGAGTCAGCCATGGTCCTGCCAGGACCTCCCTGGTGCAACGCAGCGGACGTTGCTGGCCTGGGAAGCCTCCCCTTCAGGCCTCCCTAGTCAGGTAGCAGTGGCCTTTAGGGACACCCTACCCAGTGCAGAGCCCCATCCTGCCCCTTGGCCAGCCTGGTGGGCAGCCCTGAGGGCCAGCTCTGCCTCCAGAGCAGCTTGACCGGGGCACCTGCCTCCCCTCTGCCACTCCCTCTGGAATGAAGATGAAGGTGAGTGTGTAAAACCCAGGGGTGGTTTTCCTGCCTCAGAGACTCACCCTAGAAGACCCATGGAAGGTGACAGAGCCCACAGCACCATTCATACGGGACAGCCTTCAGGGAGCATGTCTAGTATGCTGAGCGCATCTTTAATTTGATTCTTTCCCCTTGCTCTCTGGGTATCGATCAGAGCTGAAGATTCCCTCCTCTTGCCTTCCCAGGGACTCCACCACTGTCTGGGTTTAAGGAGACTCGTCACTACTGAGGCCTTTCTTCCTCCTCCTTCCCACTCCTCATTTTTATGACAGGAATAAACGGCACCTGACCGTCGCTCCCCTCCCATCCGTTCAGACAGTGAAGTGCCAAAGCTTCAGCGGCTCTCTGCAGAGCACAATCCTCTACCTTCTGGATCGTCAGGGAGCAGCAGGTGCCCGGGCCCAGACTCGTGCAGCCAGGGCAACATGGGTGCCCACGCCCAGTGCAGGAAAGGCCGAGCGGGAAGGGCCTCAGGCTCCCTGTGCCTCCAGATCGCTGGCCCAGTTTCTGTCTACCTCGCCAAGGTTTCCTTGGCACCATCAAGCCAGTCCCCACCATGGGCTGTGGAGCTCCGCCCGCTGTGGGTCAGGATGTGCTTCAGAGCTATCCAGCTGTGGGCTGAGGATGCTGGGATTTTTATCCCCCAGCTCCCTGCCTGTCATCCATTGTGGCTGAGGGAGCTCCTCCATCAGGAGAGATCCCCAGACAGACGCACAGGAGCACGCCCCAGCAGCCTGACAGGTGCAAGGGCGAGTTGAGGGAAGAACCGTCTTTCCACAAATAGCCGTGGAGCAGTTAGATGTTCACGGGCAAAAGGAATGTGAACCTTATCTAGACCTCAGGCTTACACAGAAATCGACTCCAAATGGATCACAGGCCCAAATTGAAAACATGAAACCACTAAACTTCTAGGAAAAAGCAAAGAAGGGAGGTTCTGTTTTGGACCGATATTCAACGAAGAGCTATGGCTTGATTTGCTGTGATAGGGCTGTGACCCTGACAAAGGCACACTCCGAAAATGGATGCATCACACCACAGCAAAACTGGACTCGCACATGAGAAATACCGTTAAGAGGAAGGGAGAAAAGCTACATCCCAGGGAACGCATCCAAGAAGGGATCAGTATCTAGAACATGAAGAGACCCAAAACTCATCACTAAAAGGAACTCAAACAATCCAAAGAGAAATGGGCTAAGGACACGAGCAGATGCCACACCAAAGAAGTCAATTAAACTCCTAAAGGAGATGCTCAGCACCACGGGGCAAAGGAGACTCACCACGACACCATCACCACGCGCCTCTGAAGACGGTAAAATGAAAAAATAACAGTGTCAATACCAAATGCTGCAGCGGGTGCAGAGAAACTGGATAGCTTACCCCTTGCTGATGGAAATGGAAATGACATGGCTCCTCTGGACAAGAATACGGCAGCTTCTTGCAGAACCTACCAACGCCCTTACCTCACGACCCAGGGATTGCACCGTGGGGCATTTCTTTCAGAAATTCAAAAACCCATGTTCACATGAAAACCTGCTCATCCGAGCTTTACTCTCGATAGCAACAACCTGCATATGACTCATGTCCTGCAGTGGGTGAACAGTGGAGCAAACTGTTCACCCATGGCTTGAAATACTGCTCAGCAGTACAAAGGAACCAGCTATAGGCACCTGAGACTTTGATGAATTCCAAGGGAGTTGTGCCAAATTAAAAATGTCGATCTTGAAAGCTCATGCCCTGCATGGTTTCATCCTCAAAGAGAAAAACACAGAGGTGGACAACACAGCAGAGGTGGCTATGGGCTGACGGGAAGGAGGGAGGGAGGGGCTGCAGCTCAGTGATGTTTGTGATTGTTTGTTCCAGATGTCAACTGTGGCGGGGGGCACTCCAGACTAGGTAAACCAACTGTGGTGTGCTCATGCCGTGGAACGCTCTCTGCAACCAAGCAGAGCTGACTGGTGACTCACAAGCGGCTGGAGTGGACTCAGATGTTCCCCACATGAAGAAAGCCAGACACTGGCTGGTGCGTAGGGTGTGAGGGAACCCAAGTCTATTGTCCAGAATGGAGATGGGGCTGTCTGGGATGGGAGTGGACAGCCAGCTGGGGCAGGGTGCCAGGGTCTTCATCTGTATCCTCCAGGAGGTGGTGGCCTCATGTTTGTGTGCATTTGTTGAAACTCTTCAAAGTGTGTACTTACTGTATCTAGGTGTGCATATTTGTCAAATTCACATTTAAGATGAGTGCATTTTTTTTTGTATATAATTGTGTCCTATCAACAAGAACAGGTTATCCAAAATCCACGCGGGAGGCTTTGGCCCTCTGGAGTCGGTGGCTCAGTTTTAGAGCATATTCCATGGAAACTGCGTGGGAGTTATCTTTGCACTTGGTAGGTATTTTAACTCACCCCAGCTGGGCCCTGGTGAGCGGGTCCACTGTGACTCATGTGCTTCATCCACTACTTGAAGTATTGGGGGAAGGGAGATGGGATTATATACATCAGCTCCTGTGGTCACTTCTAACTCACACGGAGTTCCTCCAGGATGGGATCAAGATGTAGCTTAGACATTTTTTCCGAAGATTAGCTTGCTGTGGCAGATATGGTGTGACCACGGACTTCCCTTCCAGAAAGAACATGCTGGAGAGCTGGAGGAGCAAGTCAGCTAGCAGCTGTCCACTCCGTCTGTCAGCATGGCCCCAGCGTGCAAGCCGAGGCCCTCTCTGTGGGTAGCTGCAGTTTAGTGCTGGCCGCTCTCCCTCAGGGCTGCCCTACCTGCCCCCGGAGCATGGTCCCCGGAGCCTCTGAGTCCCCCCGAGCCTCTGAGTCCCTGGACGGCCCTCCCCTCCCTGCCCTCTGCAGTGGCGTCAGACTCCAACACAGTCTGAAGCTTCCCACTCCATCCTGGCTCCCTCTCCTCCTTTCAGAGGCACGAGATGCACAGGAGTGTTTCCGCGGGTCGTGGAAAGAGGTAGGAAGCTAAAAGCAAAGTGGAGAGGCCTTGCAGACAAACGGGAGGCCCAGGGTGACAAAGGGAGAAGGAGCTTCCGGGTCCCAGGATGTGTGCCCTGGTGGGAGCCGGGCATGGGGAAGACAGTGGGGCCTCAGATGCGACCTAAAGTGGCAGAGGGGCTTCTCTCCCACCTCTCTGCTCCCGCCTTCAGCCCCGCCCCCCAGGGCCTGTTCTGGTCAGCCCATCCAGGGAAGGGCCTGGGAAGTGTCCCTCAGAGCAGAGCAGAGCAGAGGAAAGAACGTGCAGAATGTGCATCTGAAGGCACTCAGGCCGGTGACCAGGACACCTTCCAAAGCCACATCCCTGCTCATTTCCTAAACCTCCTTAGGATCCAACACCGGTGGCTGGAGAGCAGGCTGGAGGGGCAGACGCTGTGACCAGCAGGAACCCGCAGGGCAAGGGCTGACCCCGGCGGGGGAGCTGCAGCTGCTCCCCCAAGACCCTGGTGACCTGGCTGTGCAGGGTTTGGACATTTTCATAATAAAATATTGTTTAAAAACCCTCTGCAGTGGAACACTGGCCTTCCGGTGGGGAGAGGCTGACAGGTTTCCTGCAAGTCCATGTCTCACTGCAGTGTGGTTTGGTTTCCTCTTTCTCCTTGCTGAGAGATAGTGCAGGGTGGCGGGACCCCAGGAGGAAGCGTTCCCAGTTCTGACTGCCCTCTGGTGGTCTGTAGGCGCATGCCCGCAGCAGGCTGCTGTCCGAGTCATGCTCTGCGTAGCTCGTCCATCCATTTGCAAATTCTGAGTTAGCTACTCACATTTTAAAATCCAAAGCTGGGCCTCATGGCTCATGCCTGTATTCCCAGAAGGATTGACTGAGATTGATTGAGCCCAGGAGTTTGGGGCCAGCCTGGGCAACATAGCCAGACCTGCCTCAGAAGAAAAAAAAAGTCCGAAAAATTCTCAAAAGTATAGAAGGATCTGTCAGTCCTGGGTCTATGTGGCTTCGTAGCAGCTGTTGGCCATGCCAGCGTGCTGTGGCCTCTGCGGCCTCCTGCTGTATCACACCTGTCAATCTACTCCTTTAGTGTTCCTCTCTGGACCTCAGGGCCCTGGATTCACCAGAACTTCTCCATTTAAACCAATACAACAGCTTTAAGGCCATGTTCCTTAAATTGCATTAATCTATGACCCATCTTCTGTGACTGGCCTTAGCCATGTGTCAAACCTATTTGCTTAAAACTTTAAGAGGGATTCTTTTGAAGGTCTATTTGGAATGTGTCCTAAATAGTAGTGCCTGTAAAGTCAAGAGTGTTGTGCTCAGCAGGTCATTGTGTGGTACCAAACAGCAACGCTGTGGCTGAAGCCTCCAGGTCATCTCCTACACCCTAATAACAGGTGCGTCTCCTCGCAGGCAATACAGCTGCATCAGGCTCAGGTGCGTTGCCTGGAACACCAATCTGCCTCTACCTTGTCCCCTCCCCACGGTGCCCGTGGGAGTCACACCAACACTGATCCTGGGCATTCATTCTCTGCGGAGCCAGACTGTCTTCCATCTGAGTCGCGAGGCCCAGAGCACACGCCTCCAAGTGCCCGTCTCTCCAAGAGCCGCTGGCTCTGGCCCTTCTTGAGTCCTGGTCTTCTGTGTTCCTTGGATTCAGCACATCCCCAGCTGCTGGGGTTTGCCCATGTTCACCGCTGTTGCTTGCACTCCCAAGGCTCGGACCGGGCCAAACCAAAGGCGTGCATCTCGGAGAGAGGTATGCAGTGTCAGGTAGGAATGCGGCTGGGGAGAGGGAAGTTGGCTGAGGCTCAAAGGGCCTGTGGTGGTACACCAGGGTTTGACTGTCAGTGTGGCTGGCTGTCGATTTCTCTCTCAGTTGACCTAATAACTTGTAGGAACCGTGTTCTTCCAACATAGATGGGACAGGAGTAACTACCATGGCAACACCCACGTTGACCTGGCACACAGGAGCCTGGCACACACGTAACCCACCTGAACGGCCACGAGGAAGCTGCCACAAAGCTGTTTTAGACACGAGAAGAGTGACATTCAGAGAGATTAGGTAATGTGACTGTGGCCACATGGCTGGCAAGTGACAGAGCCAATGCCCAAGCCCAGGTCCGTTGGATCCTGTGTCCACACTCTTGATGGCTCGCCATTTGCAGGCACTTGATACTGAGTCATTTCCTGTTCTTTGGTGCGTTAATCCCTGTCCCTTCCGGCTTCACTTGTAGGTCAAGTGTTTTGTTGTTCTTGGATTTCCCCTGGCGTCTCCGCCTTTGCTCTGACATAGCACCCTGAACTGGGCACAGTGTTGGGCCTGCCCAGGGTGGCTACTTCTGCCTCCCACAATGTGCTGTGTGTTCTCCTTAACTAGGTGGGAGCCAGCCTTCCCACGAGCAGCCTCCACCCCTGGGAGGAAAGAATTCCTTCCGTTTCAGCCAATACCACAGAATACTTTGGAAAGAAGATGGAGGTTGGTGTTCTGGTGTTACTAAGCCCTCATTTTCTAGGGCTTAGTAATGCCCACTGAATCTTAGAGCCGGAAGGGCCCTGGGCATGACACAGTCTCCACACCCAGCCTCCAGCAAGTGATGTGAGGAGGCCATGTTGTCCTCCAGGAGAGGTTGTGCCAGTACCCACTCCCACCAGCCGTGAGTGGAGTGTCCACCCACCCACGCTGGGTGTCCTCCTCAGGAAATAGGAGATGGGGCAGAGGCAGGTAGGGCGGATGCAGTCACCATCCACCTGTCTCACTCCAAGTCCTCCTGCAGTCAAGCTGGCGGTCAAGCGGTCAATCCTGGCCAATGGTGTGCGACGGGGAGTGAAGGTCCGTTTCCTGAGATGCAGTCACAGGCCACTGTCGTTCCCCTAGCTCTCTCTCCTATTTCCTGTGACTCTCATGATGACTTTGGAGATCACAAGCTGCAAATGACGTTGGCTGTAGGTGGAAGAGGCCATCGGCGGCACACCACAGTGGGTAGCCGTCTGAGCAGAGGGCCGGGTAAGTCACGTCTCTGGGCACTCACTCCCGGTGGAATGGCCTCCCATCCTGACCTGGGCCCACCCTTGGACTCCCCTGAGATGCAGAGGTGATATGGATCCAAGCTCTAAGAGGCCTGCTGACCGATGCCTTTCCAGCTACTCTGCTGGACTGAGCAACGGGAGAAGGAGAAGACCCGAGGTTACACAGAGGGAGAAGGACACTCAGCTGTCTTGGTGTCCAGCTGAGCCCAGCGCTCTGGCCGTCTCTGCAAAGGTGCCCAGTATGTGGGAGAGCCAGCTTGGGCGTTCTGGCCCAGCTGAAGCCCTGTCCCCTGACAACCCAGTGGAACCCGGTCAACCTCAGAATCACGAGAGGCGACAGGATGATGGTTGCTCTGAGCCATTGGACCTTGAAATGGTTTGCACATAACGATAGGTGGCTAACTCAGTGACAGAGTAGCTGGTGACATGTAGGCCACTGTGACGGGGAGTTTGTCTGTTGGCACGGTCAGTGTTTGTTCTCCTGACGTAACAAATGACCAGTGCAACAGGCCCGTCCGGCAAAGGCAGAAAGTCGGGGGTGTGTAGACACGCTGTGCCACCCTCATTTCCTGCTGATGAGATGGGGGAATGGGAGGAGAGGAGAGAGTGACCGTGACTCTGAGACTCCAAGCCTGTGACATGAGGAATTGAAGTTCCTCAGGAGGGGAGCAGATCTACTTGAGGAAGAAAACAAGAGAGAGAGGGCATCTGGAGCTGGCGGGATCCCCCAGGAAAATAGCACCAGGCCCGGTGAGCCTGACCCACTGGTGAGGGAAGAGCCCCCGGCTGGGTGTGGCGGGGAGATGGAGCTGACTCCACTGGAGAACGGCAGTGAGGGAGGGCAGAGGAAAGGGAAGGCGGGGTGGAGGGTGGCCATGGAGATTCCTCATGGACATGGCCTCGGGGACCAGCAGTGAGGGAAGGACCCAGGGAAGAGATAAGGCAGAGAAGGTCCCTCTGAACCCAGGGTTAGAGGGTCTCCACTGTGGGTGAGAGGCAACTTCGGCCGAGTCTGGGGCAGGACTGAGGGGGGCCTGGGGTAGGGCTCAGACTGTGTCAGAGGCAAAAGTGGGCAGAGCACACAGAGGTACTTAATGTTCGTCCATGTGTCTGTCCCTCCATCCTTCCATCCATCCTTCCCTCCACCCGTCCACCCATCCATCTGTCCGTCCATCCAACATCCTGTCTGCCCACCCATCGTTAAATCCTGCTAGGGTCTGCCATAGACCAGGCATAGGAACCAAACAGACGTGGTCCTGCCCTGTGCTGGGAAAAGTTCATGGCTCCTCAAACCCTCTTCATTTCTGCCTTTCCGTTTTACGGTTGCCTTTCTAGACAGGGCAATAGTAAGCAGAACAGCCGCCATTTTTTTTTTTTTGAGCACTTTTTCTGGGGCCAAGCACTGTACATCGCCTGCTGCATCATTCCTACCTCTCTATCCTTCCAGGAACAACAGCATAAGGCAGGGACGGTTTGGAGGCCAGGCCTCTGAGGCCCAGAGAGGTTGGAATCCTGAGGTGGTCTTGAGATTCAGCCTCTGTTTGTCTGTCCCCACCCACCAGTGGTCCTGTGGATGCTCTAACGCAGCACTGGGGCTTCTCCCCTCCACCTTCTGCAAGGGAGAGGGGCTCCCTTGACCTGATCTGTGTACAGAGCTGAATTCCCCGCAGGAGCCGCGCTGCAAGATGCTGTGGAAGAGACGGGAGAGTGGCCGGCAGCCCTTTGAACACCGGGATACTGGAGACATCAGTGGGTTAACTTCACAACCAACGGACATAGTTTCTATGGGAAAATACATTGTAAACCCCAAACAACTGACTTGGAAACAGACCTGGAACTCAGCCTGCGTATAAATCAGGGGCTGAGCTGTGAGCGTTGTTTGTTTTGAACGTGACCCCACTGGACTCTCCTCTCCTTAGCCTGGTTCTTTCTCTCGCTCACTCTTTTCTTTCCTTGATGCTGTGCAAAGACCCCAGGCATCCTTGTAGTTCATTGGCAAAAGCCACACGGTCCCCTAGCTGGGTATACATCTTACTGACTGTCCCCTAGAGATGTGTTTCATCACTATGGAAAATGAAATTCTGTTTTCCTAGGTGACGGGATGTGTTTACCCAGGGACTCCAAGTGGGCTCCAGGGCCTCAGCCAGATGGTTCCGGATGTGTAACGTGAGGAGCTGGGCCCGAGGCCCTCCCTGGCCATGTGACTCACAGGGCCGGTGTGGACAGACGTGCACTGTGTGTTCCCTACCCACAGGGCTGCGCACACGGTACACAGGCTCCCTGGACAGCTTAGGTGGCGCTCAGGGGGGGGAGGGCTTGCTCTTGCTGGCACTGGGCTGGGCCCTCCCAGCCTCTCTGAGTCACCACTATTTTTAGCACAGCCTCGTCCAGGTGGGCCAGGCTCCGCGCAGGCTTCTCTCAGTGTCCTGTGTCTCCGTTCCTGCCTTGGGTGGCTGGGCCAGATGCAGGGGTTGGCAGTTCCAGCCTCTCCCTCTACACCCGTGACCCTCAGCAAGCTGGCGAGCAGGGGCGGAATCCGCCATTTCAGGAACTGAGCACATTCTGACAGTGACATTTGCTGGTGGCTTTATGGGCTCGTGAGCCCACAGGCTGGGGACAGGGAGGGCCGACGGTGATGTACTTGTAATGTTGCAGTTTATTCTGCCAGGGACAGATGTGACTGACCGTCCATGAGGCTGTGCCCCTGTGCGTGGACGCGGCTTCAGAGAGGGCCATGGCCAGGTGGCCGCGTCTGTATTTGAGAGGGTGGGGCGGGCAGTGCCGCCGGCTGTGCCTCACTCTCTGCTGTCCTGGGATGATGGCGCTGACGTCCGGCTGACCAGGAGGATCTACCAGATCTCCTTCCCTGGCTGCGGTTTATTAGTGCGTCTGGAATAATCTGGTTTGGGTTCTTCAGGGGCAGACCTGAAACAAAAATCTGAGTTTAAATCATTTATTTTTGGGATGATTCCAGGATGGACTGGCAGCAGGGTGGTGAGAAAGGGTGTGTGAAGAAGCAGGTGACCACTGTGGTCTCTGGGGACTGGGTGGGTGTGCTTCAGAGTTGTCCCTCCCAAGGGGTGACACACTGGGGTCTTTCCCATCGTAGCCTGTCCTGGATGGAAGGCAGGGCCCAGCCCTGTAGTCCTGCCCACATGGGGGCCATGCGAGCTGTGTCCCTAGAGAACCCCCAGGCCGAGAGCTGCCGGGGCGGGTGGAGAGCTGTGAGGGAGCAGGGAGCTGGGCGTCCACGGTGTCGCCCAGTGGGGAGGGCCGCGGAGCTGGGTCCTGGTCCTGCTTTGCTGGGTTGCACTGGACAGCCGCCCACCTGTTCCAGTGGCTGGGGTCCTTGCCCTGCTCCCTCCTGGGCTGCTGTGACGATGTCCTGTGAGAGGCGGGTGGGCTGCGGGTCTCTGGAGGTCTGCCCAGTGTGCGTTCTGGCCGCTTCCCCTCCTCCAGGGTCCCATCCTCCACGTGACTGGAGAAAGGCTGTGCCCCCTCACCTCTCATCCAGCTGCACCACAGCTCGAGTCCAGGCTGGGCCAAGCCAGTGTTCCCTCTTCCTGGTGACAGGGACACATGACCCCAGCAGGGCCAGTCCGTCTTGTGTGCACCCCAGGAGACAGAAGGCGAGCAGTTGTGGGTGTGGGGCTGCCGGTGGCCACTGTGCTGCGCTGCAGGAGGCCTGCTGCAGAATGACTCAGGGAGCAGGCAGAGCCCAGGCAGAGGCGGAGGGAGGGAGGAGCTTGAGGTCCTCAAGAGCATCCCTGGGTCCAGCTGTCACTGAAGCCACTGCTGTCCTTGAACTCTCCTCAGGTGAACGGCTTTGCTTTAGATGGTTGGGACCGGACTCCTGGGCTCTGTGCGGGGAACGTAAGGAACTTAGGAGAGACCTCTGGAGGGGAAGAGGAGCCCCATGGAGGGTGCTGGGCTTGCTTTCTGCCCCTGAAGGATCTCAAAGCATCCACTGCCTGGCCAGCGGGCGTGATGGGGTATGGCTCTGCCTCAGCTGGAGCCCTGGGCAGCCCCTCTGCCAGGTCGAGCCCCCTGAGGCCACCCCCACTGGCCCCACCCCTGGGGGAGTCCTGGGCCTCCCTGTCTCCTCTCCACCCAACAGACTCTCAGGGCTGCTGTGTCCCCTTCATCCGGGCGGCCTCCCCAGGGGTCACAGCAGCTCCTAGGGAAGTCTGCATTCTCACGTCTTCCTCCCCAAGGTGACGGTCACCCTGCTTGTCCTTGTTCCTTGGGGGTACGTACAAGGACATTAATGCCACATCAGAGCCCGAGTCAAGGAAGGGTTGCGAAGTCGGGGTGGCCCTCCCCTAACACGGGGCCCCGCCCCCCCTCTGCAGCCTGGGTCCTCCTTCTCTCTCCTCCTTCCCTCTCTTAGCAGAGAACTGGTGGAGCCGCCCCAGGCCCCAGCTTCTCTCCTGTCACCTTCCACGTTGCCCTCAGGCCACTGTCACCGGTGTTGCCCAGTGGCTTGTCCTCCTTTGGGGTTGAAGGGGAGACACAGCTGGTTTCCTGGGTGACTCAGGAGGCAGTCTGAAAGGCTGGCAGTGCAGGGAATTGGGGGTTAGCAGCAAACCTGCCCGTGGGCCAGCAGGAGCCGCTGCTGGGAAGAGGGAACCTCCCCGCAGCTCCTGAGCTCTTGGGGAGGACGGGGGCGCAGCCAAGTCTCCAAGAGCGCTCACTGCTGCAGATGTTTCCCAGCTGCTTCTCATTTCCGCAGGGCACTGAAGAGGAAATGGGCCTCAGCTGCCGCAGGAGGGTCTCCCATTCAAAAGGGGGAGGCCCTGCTCTCCCAGAGACAGACCAGGAGGGGCCCCTTGGGACAGGAGGATTCTGCTCTGGAGAGAACGGTGGGAGTGGGCAGGGGGAGTCCAGTGCCTAGCCGTCCAGTGCAGAGGTGAGGTTGTGTCTGTGCAGCCGCCAGACCAGCGTGGGGTCCTGCAGGGTGCAGGGGGACGGCTGGGATGTTTTGTTGGGTGGCTTTGACGGATCCCTTTGGGGTTATCGTGTGTCCCAGGGCTTTGTGTGTCCCAAGGGGACACAGTGGGGCTGGATGGCAGAAAAAATGGCCTTGATGCTGCTAGGGGTTGGCCCTGGCCTAAGAGGGACTTGGTCTCCTTCTGTGTCCCCTGCTCCACATCACACCTTGAGCGTTCTGCACCTCGCCTCAGCTGGCAGAGCTAACCACGAACGACCCCCGCACGCCCCGCACGCCCCGCTGAATTGACAAACGTGCGAGGGCCGTCACAGAGGAAGGGCTGTCTTTGCAACAAACAGAGCTGGAGCAGGGGACATCTGTGGGCATGAAACAAAAATAGGAAAATCTCAGCTGACACCTCACCCCTCCAGATGCACTCCACGCTGGAACCAGCCACCAAACCACAGAACTCTCAGGCAATCAGTGGGAGGAAGTCCTCTGGACCTGGGACTGTCACCACTGAGGGTCCCAGGAGGTCTCTTCAGGGGCAGAGGAGACTTCCACTGGGTCCTTCCAGGCTCTTGACACACCACAGAGAAGAATTTAAGGACACATCAGGATCTTGGTTAGGAAATGAAGGTGAAGATCCGCCCTCTTGAGTGGAATAGGGGCTCTCGAGCGGGGGGAGCACCCCCAGGGCTCAAGGCCCCAATTCTGACGAGGGAACACAGTTAGGTGGCATATGTGGGCTCCAGAGGGGCGGACTTCCCGGAGGGCTGGGAAATACCATGTTCCCCATCGGGGTCTCGTCTGGCCGGGAGGTTTGCGCTCAATGGACATCCCCTGCTATCGGGTGGGTGAGGGGTGACTGGGCCAGGGGTCGGGGTCCCACCGGGTGCTCTTCTGTTGGATCTCTTCCTGCTTTTCTGCATTCTAGCAGGCTCACCGGGCACTGCGCACCCTGGGTGCCTTTCACCCCGAGGCCCTTTGTCCCCAGGAGTTGTTCACAGACACTATTCCACATCCCAGCAGGGACGCTGGGAGACTCCATCTTCTCTCTGTATTTCTAACTTCTATTCAGGACTTGGTGACGAGTCCTGGGGCTTGGTGTCAAACGGTCCATGAGGATCGTCCTGGGTCTGGAGGACTTCCTGTCCTGGGCGTGACGCGCTTTCCCCGTGTGAGTGGACCCTCCAGTGGGCCTGGGCGTGAGGAGAAGGGCCCTGAGCGGCACCAAAGAGGAGCCAGGACAGCGACCGAGGAAGGCACCAGAGCTGTGAGGACCACTGCACCCTCCAAGGGCGGTGAGCCTGGATGGCCGCAGAGCCCGTGAGACCAGGGCCCGCCCTTCAGGACCTCAAAGCCCTGGGGGCACCTCCTCGCTGACTTCCAGCTCATTCTCTCCCTGGTCTTTGCTCAATGTTTCAGTGGCTCCTGCCAAGAAGGAAACAGGTTTCTTGAAAATGAAACTGCTTTTCTTAATCTTTGACAAAAGTGACAGTTTAGGGGACCCTGGGAACCTGGAGATGTACAGGTCCCAAGGGAGCCACCTGCACAGGGACTTTTCCTAGGCTCTGAAGGAGGGGCAGGGAGCTTGATCAGCACACAGTGAGGAGGAGGGGAGGAGTGGGGAGGGGAGGAGGGGAGGAGGGGATGGGAGGAGGGGATGGGAGGAAAGGAGGAGTGGGGAGGGGAGGAGGGGAGCAGGGGAGGAGGGGAGCAGGGGAGGAGAGGAGGAGGGGAGGGGAGGGGAGGTGTGGGGAGAGGAGGAGGGGAGCAGGGGATGGGAGGAAAGGAGGAGTGGGGAGGGGAGGAG